TTTTTAGAGTTGGAAGTAGTATGCCCTCTTCATTACATGCTAAGCACATTTCAGGCTTTATGTCATCCAAGTCCCAGCACCCTGTGAGGTAGAGACTGGTGTGATTTCTTTTTACAGGTCCTTGGAGAGGCTGATGAGACAAAGAGAAGGCTTTCTACTCCCATAAAGAAACCCCCGACCAGTGGCAGTGAATTTGGGTTGAGGGAGGTTGAGACACTCACCTAGAGTCACATACCTAGTAACAGGCAGTGCAAAGGTTGAGGCCCAAGCTCTCTGACTTCTGGGCTCACCACTCAGTCACCAAGCTCTAAGCCCTGGCTTAGAAACCCCCTCCCCCACTGGGTGACCTCTAAGACCCCAGCTGTACTATCCAATGGCCCCTTGGGGATTCTCTGTTTCTCCAAGCCAAAAAGCACCAGAGATGCCCAAAAGCACATTAAGAAATTAAAATGAGATGCACAGTCTGGCAGGGTATTTGAAGTGAGTCATTTGGGTTCTGAAAATCCTGTGTGGCTGGTGTTTTCCAGGTGTGTTTATATCTGAAGTCTTAGATTCTTTCCATAACTGGCAGTTTTGTTTCAAGACCGTGTGGGAAGCTTCTGGGGGTGTTTTTTGGTTTTGTTTTTGTTTCTTAAAGGTCATTTCTCTTTCGACCTCTTTTCATGAGAGGACCAGGAAGGAGCTGGAGAGAGAAGGGGGAAGACCATGCAGCATCCTGGCTCTCAGTCAGGTGAGCATTACCTGAAACTGGCTGTGTGCCACAGAAGAACAGGTCAGGCACATCTGAGCAGCCTCTTGGGCGATCTCCATGGATCGACGACGTAGGACGACCCCTAAGGGAGTTCTGAGGTCGACAGACAGGCTCTGCTCAGCGCTCTATGCCTTCCCAGAGTGCTGCCAAAGAGAAGAGATGGCCAGACACCTGGACCATCAGCCCCAGCCTCTCTCCAGGCTGGGGGCCTGTTGCCGCCCTCCCCACTCAGGGCCCTCATCTTAGTAGATGGTTATTATTTTGTATTGCACTTTGGGGGGCACTTTACCCCCAACTGACACTTAGCATCTTTTTTTTTTCACTTAGCATCTTTCACCTTGCACCTTTTTCTACCATCATCTTAGGAATTACAGAAGTAATCCGTTAGAGAAGTCATCCTCGTAGGGAGGAGGGCAGGCCCTTGAGAACTTTCTCCCCCAAGTTCTCTTTACCACTGTGGTGGAGAGGAATTTCTTAATAGGGTTCTTCCACCCAAGTCTCTGTAACTCCCACCAGATGATTGGGTGGGACTGTGCCAACAGGGCCTGGGTAACACTGCTAGAGGGGATTGATCCGCCTTGATCACACACATACACACACAGCAAGAAGGATGAGCCATCTGAAGCAGTAACAGAGAGAAATCCAGAGGCCCTTGGAAGAGCTCCTTCAAGCTCTCCGTCTGCAGTGGCAGAGCCCCTGAGACCAGAGGCCCCAAAGCCTGTGGCAGGAGACTCAGAGGAGCAGTACTGAGACCAGGGAGTACTTGGGACTGTCCGTGAGACAGAGGGACAGGTAGACTGGCTTCCTGGTCCACAGAGGCAAAGGCCATGGGAGCTCCTGTGGCCCAGAGGCTGAGGACTGGAGAGAGGCTTGGCTGGGCTGCTGGCTAAGGAGAGGGACTGCTATGAACCAAGAACTGTAACTTTGCTGTTTACACATGCTGATTTGTGGTAGCCTATGAACATCCCGAAAAATCCCCGTTAATTATGAGTATTGTCTGTGAGTTCTGTGTGGCTATTGCAACGAATGATCAAACCCAGCACAGAAGTCATGCCTTGGGAGGAGCAGTTGATGTCAAAATAGGTACCGAAGGATGGAGCCTGGAGAGGGCATGTCTGACACCCCCACCCCACTCCACCTCATCTCTGGGGATAGTGAAGTCAGAAGAGGTCAGATATACTGCCTTGCTGCAACCACTCCATATCACTGTCCTGTTACTTACCACCATTAAGGTCATTCCAATGCCTAGGGACCCTGTTGGACAGAACAAGACGGCCCCAATGGGTTTCTGAGACTTTAAATCTTTACAGATGTAGACAGGCTCCTCTTCCTGCTACAGAACTGCTATTGGATTCAAACTGCAGGCTCTGTGTTTAACAGCTCCATGTGTAATCCACTCCCACCACCGCTACCCGAGCACCATCAGATGTTTTTAGTCTCTTCCAGGAGGCTGAGCAAAGGAGGTCTCTGGCATTGAAATGTTGACATCCTCCTTCTGGAGGAGAGAAGGGCCCTGGGCGCTCTGTGCTGATGTGCTGGACTCCTAACCACGAGGCCAGCAGTACGAAACCACCAACTGCCTCGCAGGAGAAAGACCAGGCTTTCTACTCTTGGAAACTCACGGGGGCAGTTCTACCCTGTCCTGGAGAGTCACTAGAAGTTGGAACCAACTTGATGGTGGGGACTTTTCTGGAGGAGAAAAAGGAAGACAGGTAAGAAGTAGCCAGCAATTCTGGAAGCTGGTGGAGGAGAATACTTTGACTAAAACCTTCCAGGGGATATAGTTCCAGGTCACAGCTCACACCTCTTTCCTGCACCCAGAAGGTGGGCCGAATAGCCAACCCCAGTGATGTAAAGACTTCCCATGACCTGGGTTTCTGAACTTGCAAAGGACCTCAAGGCAGTATTGGGGGGGGGGAGGGGGGGAGGCAGTGGCAGTGGACAGCTTTCAGTATTTAAAAAAAAACCACATTTAAACCTCCACATCCCGCTGCCACCAAGCTACAGCCCCTATTATTGGTTCATTCAGCATACCAGTTGGTGAATATGATGAACATTCTCCAAAATATGGAGCTCATCCAAAAACCAAACTCACTGCCCCACATTGATGCCGACTCAGGGGCCCGACAGGGCACTGAGAACTGCCCCTGTGGGTGTCCAAGACTGTGCCTTTTTACAGGAGTAGAAAGCTGCGTCTTTCTCCTGCGAAGAGGCTGGTGGTTTCGAACTGCTGACCTTGGAGCCCATAGGGAAAATAATTACCAGAGAGACCTTTGGAGCAGAATGTGGCGGAGTCACTATCTGGAGACCCATTTCAGCTCCAAAACCTGACCCTAATCACCCTCATTCACTCCTCTGAGGCGTATTAGAGCTTAAAATCTGAGCCCCTGGTTTGCAGAAGGTTGTAGAACGACAGTGACAGCCTCGGGTCCATTTGCAGAGTCTCCACCTAGATCAAGCCTTCTGATCATTAACCAAGGACTCAGATCACCTCATCCTCAGGCAGAGTATATGGAAAGTGGGTTACCTCCGCCCCTCTCCAGCCAGCCCAGGGAGGGGCAGAATCTCTTAAGGGTTTTCCCAGTGTCCTCAATGAAGATCCCAGTACTGGGAACAGGACTGGAGGTTGCATAGTCACATGTCATACCCTGCCAGTCCTGTCCTGACGGCTTTGATGGGCAGGCCCCAACCAATCTCATAAACTCTTCTATCTGATGATGTATGTGACCCAGTTATGGTCCCATTCCTGCTTCTGTAGTCCCATCTGGAACTGTGATGCATCGATGTGCCACCAGTCATGAACTTGGGACAGTGTCCTTTGCTCCATGCCTTATTTAAGTAGTGTCCTGACTCAATCCTCAGCCATTATGACCTCGTGCTAATGGCTTCCCTCATCCTGATGATGTGTCTGTGCCTTTGTGTTGTCTTTGTCCCCTTTAAGATAAAAAAAAATCCCCAATAAAATGATTTTTAAAAATAAATAAAATACTTGAAAAAAAGATTTAATAAATGTTCTTCTGAAGTTATACTTGAGCTTGGGGTCTCTTTTGTACCCTAAATTAGAGGACACGGATATATGCCTGAACAGCAAAACAAGCGAGCATGGGACCCTGTATAAAGTGGAAACCTGTCAGAACGCAGAAGAATCCAATCTTTTCCTTTAAAGACAGAGGTATAGAAAAGTGATAGGAGTCCTGGTGCATGGCAGACATGTTGGACTGCTAACCAAAAAGTCAGCAGTTCAAAACCACCAACTCCTCCACAGGAGAAAGATGAGGCTTTCTACTATTGTAAAGAGTTACAGGGCCAATTCTATGCTGTGTTCTAGGCTTAATATGAGTTGGAAGCAACTCAATGGCAGTGAGGTTTTTCAGATTTTTGAGAGGAAAAATGGTGACTGTACCCTGTCAAAGGTATAAAACTCCCAAGACCCAGAAAAACACAAGGCAGTTCCCACAGAATAACTGAGGCAAGGGTTTATAGGGGAGGAAAGGGTGGGAGGTGGGAGATAAAGAGGATGAGGGGGTTGGGAGAGCAAGCAATATATGCTGGAGGGGGGTGAGATGAGACCTCTAGAACTAATTATGATTACACAATTCATTTTTTAAATGATTTAACCATGTGGAGAGGTGGTAGAAAATGTTCTAAAATTGGAGTAATGATTATATAATTCTTCTTGATATGATTGAACTATTGAATAGTATGATATGTGGACGGTGTGCCAATAAAAGTGGAAGGGAAAAAAGGCAGTTCTCTTCCATTCTGGCTCATAGCTTCATTTTCTGTCTCTGTAGGGCACTCGAGGGGACTTAGGGAGTGAACGGTGGTTTGAGAAAGGACACAGCCAACTCCAGATCCAAATGAAAGGCACGGACACATTTTGCTCACAATTCAGTGTTTAATACTCAACCCCAGCTTGATGCATAGTAGGTGCTTCATGCTTATCAGGTGGATGAATGAATGACTCTTTAAGAGAACTATCTCTCGGGGCAAGTTCTTCCTTTTAGTAGGCTGTCACGCATATTGATGAGCCGATCCTGTTCTCTGGATATAGGCAACGGACACCTAGGCAAATCGGTTTTAAAAGAGAGAGACGTGAGAAGTCCTTTCAAAGCTCCCTGGATGTGGGCAAAGCCACTAGAAGCGCTTCTTTGTAGAGCAAGGTCAAGGTCTTGATCCCTCCCATCAGCTCTAACCAGTTGCCCTTGAGCCCATTCCAACTCAAGGCAGCCCCTTAGTGTTCTCAATGGCTGATTGTTCAGAAGTAGATTACCAAGCCCTTGGACTCCAACCTTCAGCCTTTCAATTAGCAGCCAACCGTGTGGCTGTGTGCACCACCCAGGGACTCCTCCCACCGACCCCCAATCCACTTTAGGAGACAAGAAAGGAGTCTTGGAATGTTGTCCTATCACTATGCACATAGGAAGATAACAGACCCTAGCTAGAGCTCAAGGACTCCATCAAAGTTGCAGAGCAATTTGGGGCCAGAATCCTGGAAGGAATGTTGCAGCTCCTGGAGATTTCCAGGAACCTGCTTATGAGCCATCCTTCCCACACAGACCTCTTATCACTCCCCACCCCCGCCCGCTTCCTCCCAGATTTCCCCAGGTCGGTCACAGCAATGTAGAACATGTAGGGAAGGGGAGAAGGTGTGTGTGGAAGGGCAGGCACCCAAGAAGGAGCATATTGGGGTGGAGAGGGGGATGGGAGAGCCCAGCTTTAGGAAATCCCTACCAGCAATGGAGGAAGATCAGAGGAAAGATGTATTCTTCAAGAAGCTCTCAAACATCTTCAGAGCCTGGGCAGGCCGGTACTGGGGCACCATGTGTCCTGAGCCCTGTGCAGGAGAGAGGCCAAAATGGTAAGTGTTGGCTCCTGGATGAGGGTATGTGTCTCTAAAAGGGATGCCTCTCCAAGTGTAGAGACCAGACCAGAATCATCAGCAACATCTGGAGGCTCTTGAGACATGTACATTCTTCAAATTACCCAAAGCCTACAGAATCAAAGCCTGGGGGCAAGGGACAGATGCTGGGAGAAGAGGCAGCAAGCTGACGGATGCATGTTAACCACAGCTCTAGAGTTAACACTCCAGAGGCAATCTATTTTTGATTTGTTCGGCAGAAAATAAGCAGTAAAGAAAGCCTTTTTCTTCTTTTTCAACCCAGAGCCTGGAGCAGAGTAGGCTAGCACTGAGAAATTGTGCAGGTGTGGCTTGTGCCTTCTCAGGAATGATGGTGTTTGAATGGGACCTGGAAGTCCAGGGAGAGCCAGCTCTGGCCTTTAATCGCATTGTTTCTCCTTAGTCCCTGGGCCTGCAGCTTCTTCTTCCAGGCCCGAATAAACCTGGAGTCTTAAACCAGAGTGCTTTCAGGTGGGGCCCTCGTTGGTCCTGATCGACGAGTACAGCACTCCTACTCCCAGGCGGAAGGACCCAGCCTGACCTGAATCCTGATTCATCTTCCCAGGACAGGTCTTGGGTGCTCGGTGGGTGGGACCCAAGCCCTACCTTGACGGTGAGGAATGTGATCTTCTTGTATTCTTTAAAGAAGCCGGCCACCTGGTCATTCCAATACCAAGGCTGGTAGGGGCTCACCATCTAGGAGACCAACGACAAGGACCCTTGGCATCTGGGTTCTCTCCTCACTCAAAACCAGTCCATCCTGACTCACGGCCACCCACCCTACAGACAGAGGAGAATGGCCCATGTGGGTTCTCCAGGCTGGGGATCTTTGCGCGAGGAGAAAGCCTTATCGACCTCCAGCGGTGCTCCCCATGCAAATTCAAACGTGCTGCCATCCGTCAACTCCTACTCAATCCCAACCCAAGGGGCGCCTTTTGGGAGTAGAAACCCTCCCCTTGCTGCCTCAGGGTGGCCAACACCAAACGCACTCATCATTGACTCACAGACTCTGATTCAAAGTTGACCCTACAGGACAGGGTTTCCTCAAACTCACTGACATCCAGTCAATTCCAACTCTTAAGTGACCTTCCAGTGACCCTTACGGGAGTAGGAATCCTCATCTTTCTCCCTCACAGTGGCTGGTGGCTTTGAACCACTGACCTTGCGGTTAGAAGCCCAACTCATAACTCGTTACACCAGCAGTGCTCCTTGGTGTTCCCCACCCAAACCAAAAACCAAACTCCCTGCCATTGAGTCAATAGCGACTCATCAATAGCGACTCACAGCAATCATAAAGGACAGAGTAGAATGACCAAACTCCCTGCCATCGAGTCAATAGCGACTCATAGTGACCCCGTAGAACAGGCTTAGAACTTGTCCTATGAGTTTCTGAGACTGCACCTCTTGTCAGGAATGGAAAAATCCTCTCTCTCTCTCTCTCTCAGAGCGGTGATGATTGCTGTCCCACACTTTACCACGATGCCACTGTCAAATAGCTCCTCCTTAAAGCAGCCCCTTGACCCCCTGCCCCTTCCTTGAGCATCTGCACAGCTATTGGCTCAGGGGGACACGAGAACGTGGAACAAGAAAAGCTAGAGCACAAAATAATAATAATTTATAAATTATCAAGGGTTCATGGGGGAAGGGGAGGGGAGAGCAGGGAGGGAGGGGGAAAACGAGGAGCTGATATCAAGCGCTCAAGTAGAAAGCAAATGTTTTGAGAATGATGATGTCAACAT